TTATAAGGATTACCTCCGGAGTGAGCGGCCGGAGGAGTGGTATGAGATTGACTGATATTACTGTTAACGGAGACCATTCCGGGCGGCGGTCCGTACGGCGATTGATGGACTGAACCGCCGGTTATACGGGGAGAATGTGGTGACGACGACGACGGGTGTCTCTGAAAGACATTACGATCTTGTGTTTGATTATATGGCGAATGTGTCGACACTTTTGCCATTCGGTTAAGTTCTGGATATGTATTGGAAGTCTCACTTTTAATGGCAGAAACATTTGGTGAATATTTGTGTGAATTCGTCACTTGATTTGTTCGGTTCGGTTCATAATAAGGGATATTATTGGGACGGCATATGGGAATACCACTCACTATTCCGGGACCGGGTTTGGGAAACATATGAGAAGATTGTGACTGAGAATGTGTTGAAGTCTTTGCCGAATGCGGACGCGTTATCACTGATGGCATCGAAGAAGGATTTGTCATTGACTGTGTTGTTGGCAGAGCTTTGTATAGCGGATTGGGAACTAATCCTTGTTGTATTAAACTATATGCTTGATAACCAGTGGGTAAATTGGGCGCTGCCTTCATATGAATGGTGGCATTCGGTGACTCCCTTTGCATTTCGTGCTGTAATTTCGACATTTCGTTGAAATTCAGTTTTGATTTCGAGTCAGTCTTCACGAGATTTTGAGGCTGTTCTTGATTTTGTGAGGAATGGGCGACAGGTATTTGTGTCTGCATTTGAAGAGATATTGGCGATGAGCTCAACAGAGGTGTTCCCGACCGAGAACTGGTGCTCTGGTGAGCGGGAGGAGCATTGGTTAGAGAATAGTCATATTGTTTCATTGGTTGGCCTTGACTTCTGTGATATAATGGGCTGACTCTGTCGGGAGCCATCATTTTGGGTGACTTTTGTTTTGGCGACAGTGAAGGGGGTCTTCCAATAGGAGTACTGTTCCTACTGTTTGGAGTCAATGAGCGATCAATTTTTGGAGATTCCCTTTTATCGAGACCATGAGCTGCTGGTGGCGGCACTTTTGACATATCTGTGCGACCAGTCATTAATGGTGTTATCGACACACCAGAGGAGATACTCAAACGATTGTTTTCCTTGAGTTGAGCGGGAGTTATGTAACTAATTATGTTTTGATTTGGTTGATATCCATAGAGACTAAAACTGGGCTCAGGTTTGGCACGAGATGTCATCTGATGATGCTTTGACGCTTCCATCACAAGACTAGTAGCCGAGCCCTTACCTGAGGGCTCATTCATCAGTGTTGACTGTAAGTGGTGTGACTGTGATTGCAAATGACGACCAGTTTCTATTTGTTTGTGTTTGGCCATCGCCTCCACTTGATTCACACGAGAACTGTGTGTTGGGTGTGTCTGTGGGTGAGAGGGTTGTTGTTGTTGCTGTTGTTGTTGCTGCTGTTGATGGTGGTGATGGTGTTGCTGTTGTTGTTGTTGCTGTTGTTGTTGCTGCTGCTGGTGCTGTACATATGCTAACCATCTCTCAGTGTCGTGTTCTTTGGAAAGGCGTTCTCTTTCATACTCACGAGAACTATAAGAAATATTGGACTTAACGGATGGCTGTTGTGGCAAATGTGGTACTGAATGTTGCGACTGATGTTGAGGTAAGACATGGCTCTGACGTGAAATGTTTGGCTGAGTTTTGGTGAGTGGAAGGTTTGATATGGGACTCCATCCAGACTTCTTAATTACAAAATACATCATTAATCCAAAACTGTATAGATTATCAAACATTAACTAAACAAACCTTCTGTCGGGCCAACCGAAGAGACTCTTCAAAATGCTGATCCACCGCTTCCTTAGCGTTCTCTTCCTTTTCTTTGCCTATCATTTCAAATCTGGTTCTCTCTCTTTCCATATACTCTTTGCTTTCCTTTTCTAACTTCATTTGTTTCTCTTCCCTTCTCTCTCTAGAAATGTTTCATAATTTGAATTAATTACCAAAATATGACAAATGGATTATTGATATATACCTTTCAAGTCTAAGTCCTTGATGTTTATCACTTCCATGAAGAAGTTGTGCTCTAATCTGTTCATTGTATAGATTCCATGGAGTGCTCGGAGGCATTGAAGAGAGCTGTGGATAATTCTTTTGGCCAAACATATCCATTGTCTGTGAATATAAACCCGAGACCATTGGATGCGATGTTTGCATCAAATGGTGATATAATTGTGGTTCCAATGGATTTGGATGTCGATGTGATCCATGAGATGAAGTATTCAGGAGATGTGGTGATTGTGATGATTGATGAGAGGAGTGCGGATGGATTGGTTGAGACTTCACCTTATATTGTGGCGGCACTGAAGATACAGAAGGCGAGTGAATCGATGGCTGACAGGCTCTTGATTGAGATCCAGTGGCGATACGGTTAAAGTCGGACGCGTGGGTCAGCGATGGAGCGGATGTGGTGTTTGCCGAGGAATGCATGAGTCCGTGTCTGATGTGTTGCACTGATTCGATGTGTCTTATAGTTTGTTTGTCTACTAAAGTGGGATCTCTATAGACAGTGACGGACTCGAGTCGGTCTAAGGCTAATGAATGAATGCTTGCCTTCAAGTTATTCAACTCATCGACACTTTTATTGTTCTCACAATTAGTCGTATTGTTATTATTATGATAACAGTTATTGTTATCGTTATTCACTTTAACACTAGTATTGGCACCAGAGTTCAGGTGCGGAGAAATGCATGTCTTATCGGTGATAACATTGGTTCGGATGGGGAATGATTCACATTTGGTTGGATTGGGTGCCGATGTGTTCAACTGTTCATCCATTGAACACATTGTGGGCACCATTTGGGACGCATTACCAACCCTTTCATTAACACTGGATGTTTGGTCGAGACGTTTGCTTGGATTTGATGATTGGTTCAAATCGTGACAAATGACCGAAACTGAATTTTGTGGACAATTGCCTTTTGTTGAACTAATTGTCGTTTGAGATGAAGAGGTTTGTGGAAAACATGAAACACTTGTTATCACATTAGGGTTTGATGTGAAAGTACTGTTTGAATCCTCTGTTAAATGAGTCCTTGATTTCAATTCATTTGTTTCATTATTTTCCTTTAATTTGTCATTTTCTAAAACTTGACAATTAATATGTGAATCCTTGACATCGTTTATATCATTACATTTAGTATCACTACAATTATTAACAACAGTTCCACTGGTAGTTATCACTTGCGGTTCACTGTCTTCTTCAGAACCATTGGCATCACTATCTGAAGAATTGACACATTTCTTGTGATTGCGTTTAGACCTAAGTTTCCTCTTGTGATCGGACGATGTCTTGTGTGAGTCTTCTATTTCGGTATCACTGCTGCCGCTGTTGTCAACGGAGTCCTTAGATTTGTGTGCATTTGTTTCACAACTTTTCGATGTTTGCCGAAAGTTTCGACGAATATTGTGATTATTTTCTACTTTCTTAACATCTGTTTTGCACTTTTGAACATTAGCTGATCTCTTATTCTTATTGGTTTGGATCAGTTGCTGATCACTATTACAATTATCCGGCGTTTCCTTGATTTCCTTATTTTCTTTAATACACTGTTTCCTAAGAGTAAGACTCGTTTCACAATTGTTTTTATTGTTAACTAAGGTTTTGTTGTCTGCAGTGATTACTCGACCTAATGTTACGACAAAGAAACAAATTGTATTAATTTCACTACAAATTCAATTCAATTAAAATTATGGTCACATTTAGAGCACAGACACCAACACAACCATCCAATTGACGGCATTATCACCACAACTATCATAATAAGCATAATATATGCATTACTTATACCACCATTTCTTATGGCAACACATCAATTGAATGCCAGCATCACTACTAGTGGTAACAATGTTACCAACAGGTTGTCTCAATTTGGTCAATCAATATGATACTAGTATTGGTAAAGCCATTACATCTATTCTAGCCATTCATTGTCGTAATGAAGGTATAGTAATGTCAATACCAATAATGGCGGCATTCATTGCATTCATTGCCTTTCACTCAACATTACGTACGAAAGGCTATATATTAGACGCGTATAGAGTATAGAGTAGGCAGTGATCCAAAAGGCATAACAGCCGATAATGCAACCAATATTACATGTTATCACTACAACTGCATTACGAGAAGTTCCAATCAACATTTCAATATATTCACTTATATAACTTCCATGATATGTCAAATATTAACATGGTTAGTCCAAAAATGGGACATTCATCATATTCATAGTGATTTACATCTTCTTATTATCGGTAATATTTAGAAAAGCTATTTACAACAAATGTGATTAAGGTAATTACGCCAATCATTAAATAATTGAACCATCACAATATTGTAAAGTAATGGGTCATATATTGATACATATGGGCGCAGTATAGAAATGATATATAGCGCTTAATAGAATCGACTATGGTAAGCATTTGGAAAATATCCATTTTCAGAATGACTCGAAAGTAAACACTATGTCTAATATACATATATTTGTAGATAATAAATAATTTAGATAATTTATGTAGATATTATCAGTGATATTATGAAATGAATATACAATGTAAAATGTAAATTGACTGTACTTTGGGAGACACTGCAGTACAGAATGCCTATACTGTATATGGGAGACGAACTTTGGTGACCTTAATTCATGTGCAAAACTAGTGGTCGTATCATAACGTATGAAATATTTATTTTAAGGTCTATCAGAGCCTAAAGCACTTGATCTCTACTCTCAAAACGAGTCCTTTCTATTGCTCTGAAATTCAATTCTTTATGTAATGATTAAAAACAAGACTCAAAATTCAATTAATTCTTATCACATGTGCTATAATTGAAGTGAAAATAAAATGGCATTCAAAAGGAGATCACATTTTTGAACACAATTTGTCATCAATCGACCACTATATCCATGAAATTGTCATCATTGACACAATGTTATTGTTTACTAAATAATTGGACAATAAATTGCTAAACTATTTGCTCATAACTTCTCTATTAGTGTAAACCACTCGAGAATGACATTTTTGATTTATATATCCATATAATCCTAATTTAGACAAACGTAAGGATTATTACATCCAAAACATAGCATTTTAAAATAAAGTTAATGAATATATAAACGCAATGTTTTGCGTTGCAATCTATTTATAATAAAAATTATTTAATTATAAAATTAATGTATAGAAGTTATAATAAAAGATAAAAATAATTTCAATGTATTTTGTAAGGGCAGGTATAGAAGGGCACAACACTTGGCGCCCACACTCTTATTATAAATAACATTCAAAGCTCATAAACCCGAAACTTATTTAAACTTTTATTTCATTTAAAACAAGTTTTATTTCTCTTGGAATTAGAATTGAGTAATCCTTTTGTTGTAATAAAAAACAAATCATTTGAATTATAATTTGAAATAAGTTATAAAAAATTGAAATCATTTCAAACCAAATAGTTATCAACAAAAGGGCGTCAAATATAATGAGGAATATGTAAAAGATTGACACAAAGAATAGTAAAAATATATTTACAGATGTTAAGCATGTGTTTTATATAACATCATGATATAAATATATTAAATTCAATTCAAAACATCATTTGCACAATAATTTAGTTGTAAACAACAAATAATTATAATAAATGTATGAAAATGTTAGAAAACAACAAGAAATAAAAGCCAAATCCAATTAAAGTGTCCGACATTTGATTACATGCGAAAAATAAGTTCAGCCATTATTACTGAACAAAGTATTATTGCAGTCATTATTCAAACACCACTTCTCCGATAAGATAGAAATTATTTGAACGAAAACTAAATGTTTTCACTGCAAACTTACAAATACTTTAGTTATTAGCCATTTATCAAATCAACTTAATTGATAACGTTTTGTGATTACTTTGTTTTAATCGATAGTTTCAATACATAAGGCGTTAATTATTAAATGTTCAAACAATCAAATCACATATATTTTTAATAATATATTCACATATCTTTAGTAAACAATTAATCAAAAATATAGAATTCCAGTTAAATGTAATGATAATTAACACAAAATAGTACTTAGAATTGCATTTCTAAACATATTTTAATTATAAGACAAAAAAGTAAAACAACGCATGTTTTGCTCAAAATAATCTCAAGATAAATATAAATTCTGCATTAAATGCAATCAATACACACAAAACATTTGTTTTATAAAAATAATTAATTATATTAAGAAAATAAAAGGTTTATATAGTGTATAAAATAGGATCATGGGTGAAAATGTGAACCATTGAAATTGATTCCTAAATGTAAACTATTTAGGGGTAAATTCAATGGATCTCAACGACCTTGAGTTGAGACCATTTTAAACTATACTGAATGTTAAGGCAATTGTTTGTAAGTTTTAAATAGATATTTCAATAATAGATATTTCAATCAATTAAATTAATAGTAATCTATTTATAAAAGTTATTAAACTTACAATCGATATAAATTAATAGTAATAAAGTAATTAATATTTATTACAAAAATTCACAATTTAAACGATTGTATACTAGAAGTCTATTAATCAAATAAATTACTTACAAAGTAAAACATTATTCAAAAGCCTTGATATAAATAGCGTTTAATTGTTTGAATAATTAGCTTCAAAGTGTTAAATCAAGTTTTAAATGATATACATTATGAATATTTTGTAAAATATAATTGAAAACTATGATAAGTAATGTATTTTTACTATAGTAAACAGGTAACCAAGCACAATTTATAATACAAGCATAACTTACCAGTAGTAAAAATGTTGCAAAATTTTAATAAAACAATTAAAAATATAGTTCAAAATCGTAATAATGAATGAAAGCTATAAAGAGACTAATCGTAGGCACTGTTTGGTTGACTGAAAGCATAGTTGTGTTGAATTGATGGCAAAGTATTCACAGCCAGTAAAATAAGCATAAAATTGAGATAAGATTTAAATATTAATAGCATTTCATGTGATCAAAAACAGCACATCAATAAATAGTGTGGTATTTGTTTAACAACAAATTGAAACAAACAGTCCGTATAATGTAATCAATGGTTTTAATTGTAGAAAATTGTTGTCATTTGAGACAAGACTTGTTCACCATTTTTGAGACTCAGTTCGTCAGACATGATGTTAGAGGAACTGCTCATACAATCTCTACAAGTGTTGAAGTCCTTGAAGTGTTGGACACAACCAACAACTATAATAGTTAGTCGATTGCCGATACAGTGAATAAAGTGTACACCAGTTATAGTGTAGACAACACTAACCGCCTCTACTCTTAAGCACTGCAATACAGATACACAAAGAATTGAGAAATCATGAACTCATCCATTGGTTCAGACACTCAACATATCAGAGAAACTAAATATTTTGTTAGTTCTCTGTCTCTGTCTTTGAAGCCGAGAAGAGGCACACAAACTAACCACTAGTGCTATAGTCTATGCATACATAGTGTAGTGTTGGGTAGTGTTGGGGAGAATAGAAAGCAGACCATCAGTAATACGTTGCCCCCGGCATACGTTCACTGCCTTATTAATATTATACACTACACAAACTGGTTTGAATAAACTGGTTCTAAATAAACTTACTATGTACAATGTTGTAATGATTTTGATTGCAAGTTCTTCTTCTTGGAGTGATTCCAATGTCTTCGCCTTTCAGTATGGATTCGACGACTGTTTAGAAACAAAAATTGTTGTTTTAAATCAAATTCACATCAAATAAAAATGCAGCGAAAAAATCAGTCATTATTTGCAGTACTTTTAACACTGAATACTGAGTTCGTAATAAATAGCCGAACACTGAACTCATCGCATACTTGCATATAAGCGATAAGTTTATCGTTTTTGCCGATAAATTATAGCAAATAATCTTTTTTTGTAAATAAGTTAATGTTTTACTTTTCAAAATGCATAAAACTTTCTTAACATAACAATTAATTTCTAACACTAATAATATGTCTAATCAAATATTAAGCAATTGTAAATCAGTGGATGACATGTAGTGTTTAATATTACATTTCAACACAACATTTCATTGACCCAAATCATATGGAAGACAACCTCAAAATAAATATTACTGTAACTATTTATGACCTGATTTAAGACAAATCGAAAAATATATCACAGTTTTAGTTAAAATGGAAAGCATTTCAAAGCTATAGATTTGTTTTCATGTATTAATACTGTAATCAATAAATTATATAATAACAAAATTCAAATAATAAAGCAATAATAATTCTGTATTCATATTTATGCTGTGTTACGTACTAGACAATCAAGATATTTAATTATTTACAGTTAACATGGTATTAATTATTGATAAGCAGCAAAAAATAGTGATTAATTGAATCAACAAAAAATGAATTCAATCGCTTTATACGCTTTGCTAGAGACTAAATGATTACTTCAAATATCATTATTATAAACAGGAATTTCACAACAGTTTATAAATAGACTATTTGTTGTTTGTGTTGAATACTAAGAAATGTATTTTTACACTTTATTCCTGCAATAGCTTTATATTCATGGCATTCAAATATAATTCCATGGCAGATATGTTTGATATTTGCTTCACAACTAACCTCCGTCTCCAATGAGTTTCATCTGAACCAAACTCGGGTCTTCATTGTGTTCTTCTAGTACTGTGTCGTCAGTTAGAGTTAATTCCTAAGCAAAGACACAATCATAACATAAATGTATGTCTTTTAACTCCATTATTACTGCTATTATACATGAGATATGTTTCAAGGACTCAATTCATATATGAGTAGCAATTGATTTGCTAAACACTCCAGACTTTGTGTTTTGTGTGTGAACTATATTTCCTGCGTTTGTATCACTAAATATGAGATATTTACTCAAAATGTAAATTAAGATAATTTAATAGCAATTCCTCACAAACTTATCGTTACATAAAACCAAAATAGAATCCAAAGTCGATTCAAATTTATTAATATTTATCCAATAATTAAAGATTAAATTTCACTTAATCTGATCTCACATTTAAATGAAACCTTCAGTTATAAAATAAATGAAATATAAGAATAAGAAATAAAATTATACATTAATTGCTAGTTTGGGTTTTTTGGTTAACTAACTAATAATAGTAATCGATTCACTGAATCTCAATACAAGTAAACGTAATACTGAGAACATTAAATGTATAAAATTTTAATTTAAATAAATTTCATTAAAACAACAAATTAATTAATTTCTTAATTAATAAAAAATGTATTAATATTTAAAAATAATTACCCGAGTGTTGCCGTTGTAGGAGACGATGACTGCAGTATACCATTGAGTGGTTCCTTCACTTCTGTAAACTTTAACTCTATTCCCGAACAGCACTGAAGGAGTAGTTAATAGTATTCGTTGTGAGTCTTGGAATTGAATCCACTTTCGAAGAGCTTTTCTAACTTCAGGCGATTCTATGTCCGCCTTTTGGCTCTCGAGATCCGAGTCCTTCACAATAAGATTCACAATAAAAATTAATTTAATATTAAACACTATCTATGAAAACACAAAACACTACGATATGATCAAAATTAATAAGTTATATATAGTTGTTGTAAAGCAGTTGCGATCGTAAGCACATTGTTGTGAACGTGAACTCACTTTGATTTTCTCTTTATTGTGTAATTATAATAGAGATTATATTTTATGAAACGAAGTTCACATCCCTTATGCGGACCCTAAACCTAAACCAAGGGGTCTCTCCTCCACACAGACGGACGGCGAATATAAGGCGAAAATATTTTCATACTATTATATTGTTGTGCAAAATCCAGTCGCCATTCTAGCCATTCATAACCCAATACTCTGAGACTTTAATTGCATTGAAAGTCGAAGCAGTGGTGCACTGGTATGGCATCGAAGGCATGTCAAGTCTCCCCAATAAAGACCAGCTGTTTCTAAACTATGCCATTCTGTGTCTACTACAGCACAAAAGGTTACTCAACACTCAACATAGTGTACACCAAATAATAAGACATTTTTAAAATCAAACCCCGAAAGTGAATAAACCCCAGTATATGTGTGAATGATTGGCTAAATTCTCTCTTATTTCCAATAACAACAAACTCTTAAATATAGAAACAATTTATGACAAAACAATTGCACTGCTTTACCAACATATAGGAAATGTTTGGCATTATATTATATAATTCAATATAATTACGATTACTATAACAACACAAATGGTCATTACCTGATATACTGTTAAATCCTTGTAATCAACAAATTCTATGTGTTTGTCAGATAACAACTCAATTGGTTTTAATTTGTTTTCTTCAAATCCAATTTTGTCGACTAATGTCTTGAAATTCTGTAAAAAATAGACACAAAATAATAAAAAACTATTTATTTTTAAGTAAAAACAATTCAAAATTACAAGAAAAATAGCAAATCTGTATTCATTAAGTGTGTAATGAGTTATCAGTTTTTCTTATATAAATGCCATGAAATCTAATCTTATTTTCGCAGATGTAATGAAAGTAATATTATATCGTTTGTAACTCAAAGAGTTTGTGCTCTTTTAGAAATGTTTTTTATCGAAAGCAAAAATACAGAAATCAATAAAAATGTGGCAAATTATAGTCATCTAGTATTTGAGCCAACATTTCAGCCATTTCTAGACTCACTACAATTCAATCATCATTTCAAATACACATTTCATATCATACTTTATATACTCTATCAGTAATTGACTTGAGTTTTGTTCATAATATCCATACCATAGTCACTGGTATAGTGTACTGATATGATGGCAAAACAATTGTCACCCATAAGCCTAACACTCGCAATACATTGTGATCATTGCTCTAATCATTTGTAATAGCGATCAGATATGACGGCAATACTTATAGACAATGAAAGCATTATTACTAAATTTAATCAATTATATCTCAATTATCTAACAAATAACCATTTAATGGATTGTATGCATAAATGCTTAGCTTTTATTGTTATTATTCAATGAATTGATGTTTTTAAGGAAAGCAGTGTTTGCCAGATATGCGAGGGCTCTGAAGGACAAATGAAGGTCAACCTTATACTGGCGTAGAGTTGTATGCATTGCTTTGCCATCAATTCAATGACATTTGCAAACAACTAAAACAACTTTGTTTGGCATTTAATGAGTGTTTTGGTTAATCTGTATGAATATGGATGTGATTGAAGTGATAATGAGATGCATACCAGTGATGGACAGCCGATGTTGTTGTGGTTGTTGTCGACCCAAACCAATGTGTGTTCGATGAGAAAGAGGCGAAACGCGTTTTGTTCGTAAACACGAATCCATTGCCGACTCTTCCACTCTTCGCCATCGAATTCCACTAAAATCTGTTCAAAGAGATTACAATCCGTTATCACATGTTATGGCAGTTCACCCATTCATAGGTCCATCTATTTAAATGTCCACAATTGTCAACAAATGGCTAGAGATGTCCCAATAGTGACTCAGTTTCCAAACATGCATATTATTATACTTTTTTAAAATTCCTATTATGCGCCAAGGTTAATTTCAAACAGTGCCCAATCAATATGAAACAACACAAAGTTGAAAGGACTTTGAAAACCATTGAGTGTTATGTACAATAGTGTACTACTGTATTGATTGACATATACGTATGTGATCAGTGATCACCAATTTTCAATCATTTACATCATAATACATGTGTTTCGGACATCTCTGGCCATTTGCCGATTGTCTTTTCGGAACACATGTGTTGCCAATTGTGCACATTTTCATACCGAAATGAATGGTCATTTAGAGCAATGCTCAATGAGCATGGTATATTCTTACATACTCTTTAGTTTATAATAATGATAGTTTATGATAATTATATAAAAATGTATT